AAACGGAACAGATCAATACTGCCAACAATAAACTGCTTTAATAAATCTAATTCCCATTTCAGGCTTCTTAAAGTCAGCTCAAAACTGACTGCCTATTTTGCAGTGCCCCAGCATTCCAATTAGTCCAAAATGCACTCTTTCATGGACAAATTAACAGGCACTTCTACATCACTGTATAGTGAATTCCAAATCATTTACCTTTTGCATAAAACATTTGGGTTTATCTCAAATAAAAACGTTCTCTTTTAGCACTGCATCTTCTTTAAAAAACCTCCCTTTTCATAGGGGTAGCTCATGTCTGGCAGAGTTCGGGGAACTCACTGTGTTATCAGTCCCAACGTCGATGCAGACAGGCAGGCATTTATCGGGATTGATCCCTGCACAGGCCGTGTACAAACAAAGCTTTCCCACCGGGATCCCCATCCCGTACACCCCCAGGTCTCCAAGACCCAATATTCGTTCTCCATCAGTCACGACAACAGCCTGAAAGAAAAAAAAAAAGTAGGTGAAATCATATACGATCACTGAAATGTATAAAGATTAAATCAATATCAGTTACGGGTTTTTTCCTATGTTTGCACAGTCAAACAAGGAACAGATTAAAAGAATATTCYCCTCAACCCATAAACCTCATGCTTAGGATAAAACACTGATCTTCAAGTATGCATTACCTTAATCAGCTGCATTTTGCTATTGTCATTAAACAGCCAAGGATAAATTATTTAATATTTATATTTCCATCAAATTATAGTAAAACTTAAAAAGCTCAACTGAGACGAAATAATAACAAGAAATTAATCACACAGTAACAGTACCTTAACATCATTCTCTGGCCAGTTGTTCACAATTGACCTTATGTGGCCTCTGTCTGAGATAGAAATAAATAATCCCCTGAAAGAAAGAAAATGCACAAAATAGAAACATTTTACGGATGACAATCAGAAATTTCACCTTGGTCTGTAAAACTAAATGTCAAATCAGACAATTCAAAGTGTTACAACCACAGGCATAAATCACTTAAAGGACAATATCTAAAAAATCGATATTTTGAAAATCGAAAGAAATAGTACTTTTTGCGAATCTATCTGGCTTTTACACTGCTGAAGATATTGACCTTTAATACTCCTGCAGAGTTTTCAACATGACAGGACCCTTCCCCTCCCCTGTAGGGATGTGAAACAGGATCCTAAAAGCTTGGCTTGAGCTCAGGAAATCTCTATGGTGACATTACAGAAGGGAAGGACAGGGACAGGAGAGGGGACACAGAACTGAGAGCTCTGCCCTCCCCAGAGCAGGGGCAGGGACAGGGACAGGGACAGGGACAGGGGACAGGGACAGGGACAGGGACAGGAGAGGGGACACAGAACCGAGCACTCTGCCCTCCCCAGAGCAGGGACAGGAGAGGGGACACAGAACCGAGCGCTCTGCCCTCCCCAGAGCAGGGACAGGGACAGGAGAGGGGACAGGGACAGGGACAGGNCAGGGACAGGAGAGGGGACACAGAACCGAGCGCTCTGCCCTCCCCAGAGCAGGGACAGGGACAGGAGAGGGGACAGGGACAGGGACAGGAGAGGGGACAGGGACAGGGAGAGGGACAGGAGAGGGGACACAGAACCGAGCGCTCTGCCCTCCCAGAGCACGGACAGGAACAGGAGAGGGGACAGGAGAGGGACACAAAACCGAGCGCTCTGCCCTCCCCAGAACAGGGACAGGGACAGGGACAGGGACAGGGACAGGGACAGGGACAGGGACAGGGACAGGGACAGGGACAGGAGAGGGACACAGACACAGAGCACTTTGCCCTCCCAGAGCAGAGCAGGGACAGGGACAGGGACACGGACAGAGACAGGGACAGGGACAGGAGAGGGACACAGAACAGAGCATTCTGCCCTCCCAGAGCAGGGACAGGGACAGGAGAGGGGACACAGAACAGGGACAGGGCAGGGACAGGGCAGTGCTGCCACTGCCAGCTGCCTCTCCATGGCATGGCAGGGCAGGGACAGCAGCTGAGGTGACCTGTCTGCATTTCCTGTGCTGGAGCAGAGCTTTGTGAGGGGCAAAGGGCACAAAGGCTCGGCTGAGGCGGTGACAGATTAATGCCCAACAGCAGGAAGTGCTGGCTCAAAGGAAGGAGGGAAGGAAGAGCTCTGTGTTCCATCCTCAGCGCCAGCCCATGCTGCTCCTTCCTGCCCAGACAAGAAACGATTCTGCGATGCTGGGATGGCTTTCAGCCTGAGCTGTGACACACACACAGGTGTGGAAGGGCAAGGGAAACATGTGAGAGCTGAGGGCACATCTTTCACATCCCCCGCCCCAGAGCACCAGAAAAACCATGAGTTTGTCACTGTCTTCATCAAGGCAGCGAAGGACCAGCCCTTCTTCCAGAGAGCACTAAAGCCCTCGAGGCAGAGGGCTCCAGAACGCTCTGAACTGCTGTGAGAACCTCATGGAAATGAGCCGGAATGGGGCCGGTCCCAGCCGGTGTGGCCAGCACAGGCTGGGGACAGAACACTTGTTTGGCAGTCCCAGCTGAGCCCAAACCAGGGCACAGCCAGGTCACGTGCCAGAGAAACTCAGGTGACAGCTGGTGGCACAGGTGTGACTTGGGGAGCACCTGCACTCAGCAGGCCCAGTGATGGGAGGGTGACACTGGGGCTGGACCTATGGAACCCACCTGGAGTGACCCCTCCTGGACAGAGAGACCAGGGCTGGACCTATGGAACCCACCAGGAGTGACACCCCTGGACAGTGAGCAGGGCTGGACCGACAGAACCCACCTGGAGTGACCCCTCCTGGACACAGACAAGGGCAGGATGTACAGAACCCACCTGGAGTGACTCCTCCTGGACAGAGACCAGGGCTGGACCTATGGAACCCACCAGGAGTGACCCCTCCTGGACAGAGAGCAGGGCTGGACCGACAGAACCCACCTGG